CTCTTATACCTACTTCCTCTAGCTCCTCTGCTCCAAGTACAGTCTCCCTCCTGCAGGAATGAGAATTTTCCGGCGATTTCCGGTTTGGTTTCATTTTGGTCCATTTCTTGCGATCGTGCAAAAAAAAACTAATAAAAATTTGAGGGGGGATAAGGTGTACTTTTCTTGCAAAATGACACCATTTTTTTAATTTTAAACGTTCAGTAAAAAGTCAGGAAAAGTATGCGTCGAATTTCACAGACAGAAGTGACGGAAGTCTGCAGATAAATATCGCGGGGTATCTATGTAATGAAAGGGTTTTAGCCTATTTCTCATGCGTACTGATAACTCGGTGACAATTGGTTCGTATAGTAATTGATAACTTCTAATGGAAAGGAAATATTTTTTCCATGCCAAAAACATTCAACCTGTTCCATGCCTGCTCGTGCTATTACGCACCTCTGGCCCACAGAGCAAGTTTAATGTTTTCGCTCGGTGGCTGCTCGCGTGCATGTGTTCGTTTTCGCCGCGATCATATAGCGGCGTCAGCCAAGCTGAGCGCAGCGCGCGTGTACATGTCTAGCGGAGCAGCAGCAACAAGAGCGGCGCCTGTCTACGAGCGAGGCGAGCAGCAAGCCAGCAAGCCAGCGTGTAGCATTCAGTACGCTGGCTTATATTCGGTGTTATCGTGAGTTGTATTGGCGTATGCGCGTATGCTCGTCAGTGGCGAGTATGCACTTTCTGTTAGTGTCACTCTGTCTAGATTGGCCGTCCTATGAACGGTGCCGATTGTTTCAAAACCTCTTTCATTCTTATCGCTCGTGTTTCCTTCATCGCCAGATAGTACGGCAAGAAGGATTGCTTCTCTCATCTCAGTCAGCAGTTCTGTGTTTACATGCCGGTACCCAGCTGTGTGCAGCTCTGACATGTACTGTGTTTTTGCAGTGCCTCAGCCTGTACATCAGTTCTGAACATGTTCTGGTGTTTTGCAGTGCCTCAGCCTGTACTATCAAGGTACCTTATTATCTCTGACATGTTCTGTGTTTTGCAGTGCCTCAGCCTGTACTATCAGCTCTGACATGTACTATGTTTTGCAGTGCCTCAGCCTGTACTATCAGTTCTGACATGTTCTGTGTTTTGCAGTGCCTCAGCCTGTACTATCAGCTCTGACATGTACTATGTTTTGCAGTGCCTCAGCCTGTACTATCAGTTCTGACATGTTCTGTGTTTTGCAGTGCCTCAGCCTGTACTATCAGTTCTGACATGTTCTGTGTTTTGCAGTGCCTCAGCCTGTACTGGGTGAGTTCCAGCACGTTCGGTCTCGCGCAGAACGTTGCTCTCAAGTTTCCGTCCGTGCGGCGCGCGTGTCGCATTCCGCCCGCACCCAGCGAGAGCCAGACGCCGTTCCGCGACATGGTGGCGCACTTCCGAGCGAGGCGGGCGCGGGCCGACGCGTCAACAAAGGACACGTCAGCGTCAACGAAGGACACGTCAGCGTCAACATAGACCACATCGATGAAGGATACTTGACGATTTCGTGTTTCGAAACTTGTAATAAATTTCGAGAGCTAATCTTCAATTCTGCGTTGTCGTGCTCTGTTTCGAACTGTCTGCGTGCGTGTTGCCAGGCATTCTTTTAGATAATCTCAACAAAATCGCAGCGATTAACGACTTCAGCTGTCTGCCAATCATGCTATGCAGTTAACAATCACATATATCTGACACAATATATTGGTACTTCAACAAACAACATGATCGCGTTTAGCATGTGAACGTTGTCATAATTATATGTGGTCATGTGTGTCGTCTCCATTATACGAACGTTGATACAACTGACGACGATAACAAAAAACACGAGCCAGTCAATACAAATACATGCAGATATAATTTAATCAGCATATCATTTCATTGTTTAACATTATAACGACGACTGACACGAGTACGTTGAACAGAACAGGTTAAAAATTGACAATTGAATTTTGTTTTAGTTGGGTAACTAACTACGTCTACAGGTAATGATTTTCTAAATTCCAAGAATTTTCGTGAGTTTCACACAAGAATATGCATGCATGTGATTTAAGATGCATGTGATTTAAGAGCTTACTAACTAACGCTTTACAACCAGGTTTACGCCCTAAAACAAAATAATTATTTAATCGATGACATGCTAAAACATGATTCTGCAATTCTCAGATTTGAATCTAACAAAATTCCACCGAGTAACGCGAATTGGTGCTCGTCCCAGAAATACCAGACGAAATTCACAAACCTACAAATTTAATTAACCAACTTAAAAACTAAACTCATTAAATTTCGAAAAACCGGAAACTAAAATTCGACGTCCGCCGGCGTGTCGTCGCCGCGGCGACGCTTCCTAACGCGATCGGTGCCGACGTCGCATCCTCCGTCGGCGGAGCTAAGATGCTCTGCTTCCGTCGCACGAAGATCCGCATCCGACAGGGATTCAACGCCACGTTCGACCAGACTAACGAGGAGATTGACCACCAAGGCGGCGTCTCGAACGACGGCGTCTGCCCGTATACCGTCGCCGACCTCCCGACCACCAGAGGGCGCCAAATCGGCCACCTCGATGCCGAGAACAGGCACAGGTGGCGCTGCATCGTCCCCGTCGAGCTCACGTAATGTTTCGGCGCGTTCGTCACGGCCGTCGTCGCTCTCCCGTCCACCAGGGGGCGCCGAATCGCTCGTCTCGGCGCAAGCGGCAGGAGTAGATGGCGCTGCCGGGACGTCTCCGCCGCGTTCGACTCGATTGAGGAGGCGACGCATCACAGCGCCGACGTCGTCGGAGACATTTCCGACACCAGAGGGCGCCGGATTGCTCGCCGCCATCGCCGCCTTCTTGAGCCGCATGATCTCGAACTCGGCGCGCAGCAGCGCCCTCCGCTGGCAGCGAATCTTCTTGAGCGCAGCGGCGAGCGCCGCGTTGGCCCCGGTCAGCTCTTCTCGCAGTCGCTCCGTCTCCCCGACCGCTCTTCTCTCCGGCCGCGCGGCGAGGGAGGGCCGCTGGGACGAGGTCGAGGAGGGGGAAGGCCGATGGAAGGAAGACTGGAGGAGACTGGATGCGGACGATGTTTGGCCCGAAGAGGAAGCTGCTTTAGGGGAAGCCCCGGAGGAGGGTGATGCTTGGAGAGAAGAGGAAGACCGGGAGGAGGATGCGGCCGCCATTGTCTCGTCAACGCGGCGGAGGCAGAGCCGTGGAAATCTATCGTCGAGCTTCTCGCGCGCTCTCCACCAGGCGTTCCCGTTTTCCTCCTCCTCCTCCTCCTCCTTCTCCTCCTCCTCCTCCTGCTCTGCAACAGGCCTCCTCTCTCCTACCTCTCGCGTGCCGGCTTTCTCGTCCCGCGGACGCGAGGCCGTCTGCTCGGTGATGTCACGGGCGACGCCTGGCAACGGCCGGGAGCGCTCGGCAGCGGTTGCGCCGGCACCGCGTCGGATCTTGCTCATCGCGTGGCCATGAATGCGCCGCTCGTGGCGGCAGCGCAGGACGTGCGTGCGGTAGCGCTTTCCGCACGCCCCGCACGCGAACGACGCCTTCGCCGCACCATCAACGGCGGGGGTGGCGGCGGCGGTGCGGGCAGGGGCGGCGGCGGGGGTAGGGGCGGGGGGACGACTGACCTTGCGCTTCCTCGCGTGGCCGTGGATGCGGAGCTCGTGGCGGCGGCACAGGAGGTGCGTGCGGTAGCACTTGCCGCACTTGCTGCACGCGAACTCGCACAACGCGGGATGCTTGTAGCGTATGTGACGATTCATGTTCGTCGCGAGTACGGCGTGATGGCACTCCGGGCAGTACTTGATCGCGCGAGCGCCTTCTGTACGCGGGCAGCTCGTCAGAGCGTGTCTCCGCGCGTACTTCGCCGAAGAGAAGACGCGCTGGCAGTGCGGACACGTCGCCGCGGAAGCAGGCTTTGCCGGGGTCGTCGCCGCGGCAACGGGCTTTGTCGGGGTCGCCGCCGCTGCAACAGGCTTAGCTGGGGTCGTCGCCACGGCAATGGGCTTTGCCGGGGTTCTCGCCACGGCAACGGACTTTGCCGAGGTCGTTGCCAGAGGCGTCGGTGCGGCAACGGAGCGAATCTTCCTGGCGACAGCTGGATGCTTCGTGCGCATGTGTCGATCCATGTTGAACGCTAGGATCGGCTTTCGGCAATGCGAGCAGCGGACGGCGGCCGCCCCTGCAGACGGGCAGTTTGACGTCATGTGTTTGTGCATGGACCCTGATGAAGCGAACACGCGGCGGCAGCGTGGGCACGTCGCCGCGACGAGGGCCCTGCCGGGACCCTTGCAACGACGCAGCCGCAGGTGCCGGCGCAGTGAGCTGCGTTTAGAGAACATGCCTCCACACCGCGGGCACGCCATCGCCCCCTCCGCCGGCTGCGTCACGAGCCCCTCCGCCCAGCGGGCCGACGACTCGCCAGTTTTCGACGTAGCCGCCGCCGACGAGTGGTGGTTCTTTTCGGTCTTTCTGTCGATGGGTCCTTCGGTCTTTCGGTCTTCTGTCGATCTTTCCGTTTTCCGATCTGTGCCGGCGTTCTGCGTCGCGGTCGCCCCGACGTCCTGGGCCAGCGCGCCGTACCCGTCGCGCACGTTGTGAACGGACGCGAGGTGCATGCGCGTGTACCAGGCCGTCGAGAACACGCGGTCACAGCACGGGCACGTCGCAGCCCTGCACGTCCGCGCGTGCTCGTCGAGCGAGGACGCCGTCGCAAACGCCTGCCCGCACTTCGCGCACGACGACAGCTGTGCTGGCAGGGGGCGCCGGCAGCGCCTGAGGCGGAGGTGGCGGTCGCGGCCGCGCGGCGACGCGAAGACGCCGCCGCACGCGGGGCAGGCGACGTCAGCGTGCGCGGCGACGTTGTGACGACGCAGCGACTCGTCGTTGGCGAACGCTCGCCCGCACCGCACGCACCAGCTCTCCTCCTCCTCCTCCTTCTCCCCCGCCTCCTCCTCCTCCTTCCTCTCTCTCGGCTCGGCTTTACGCTCCTCGGGTTTCCTCTTGCGATCGAACGGCGACGTCTCCACCTCGAGTTTCGTCTTCCAATCAACCCACCACGTCCCCTCCTCATTCTCGGCGATACCGTCGCACTTCGAGGCCGCGTTGCTGCCGCCTTCCCTCGTCGGAGCAGAATCGCCGCGCGAGCACCGGCCGCAGAACAGCTGGGCGGCGGGGACGTGCGTCGCGGTGGCCATCTTCATGGCGCACTGGCAGCACTTGCCGATCTCGAAGCGGCGGCCGGCGTGCTCACGTTTAACGTGGGCGGCCAGCGATTCCTCGCCCCAGAACGGCGTCGCGCAGAAGCAGCAGCAGACGAAGCGATTGTTGAGCACGCCGTGAGCGTCGCAGCGGTGCCACGCGAGCATGAGACGAGACTCTAGCACGCGACCACACTCGGGGCAGTCGGCGCGGCGACGCTGAAGGTCGTAGTTGACGGCGGCGACAGCGGCCGCGGGGCGGGCGGGGGCCGCGGGGCGGGCGGGGGCTGGGGGGCGGGCGGTGACCGCGGGGCGGACGAGCGGCATCTCGTCATGCCGCCGGTGCGCGCCCTGGTGGCGAGCGAGGCGCGTGAAGTTGGCGAACGTGCACGCGCAGCGCTCGCACATATGCGGCATCGTCGCGCGCGGAGCGTGCAGCACCTCCTGGTGTCGCTTCAGGATGCCGCCGTGGGTGAAACTCGACGAGCACTCGTCACAATCGAAGAATTTTCCCTCGCGCGGCGCGGCAGCGGCGGCGCCACTGTCTCTCTCCGCCGGTCGCTCGCCCGTCTTCCTCGCGTGAATTCGTTTTCTCGCATAGGCGGCGCCACCATCTCTCTCCGCCGGTCGCTCGCCCGTCTTCCTCACGCGGATTCGTTTTCTCGCATAGGCGGCGCCACCGTCTCTCTCCGCCGGTCGCTCGCCCGTCTTGCTCGCACGGATTTGTTTCCCTGCATAGGCGGCGCCACCGTCTCTCTTTGCCGATCGCTCGCCCGTCTTGCTCGCACGGATTTGTTTCCTCGCACAGGGGGCGCCGCCGTAGCGGGAGCGCGCGACCTCAGCCGCGCTCGGCCAGTCCGGATCGTTCTCCGTCTGGAAAGGAAAGCAGAATCGGTTGCACGCGTATCCCGTTTCGCGGACTCAAACGCGCCGCGCGGCGTCACTTTCTTTACGTCTTTACGTCCGTCCCACTTCATTGTCGCATTCTATCGATAGATATCGTGCAGATTCGTTTTCGAGACCCTCGCGAAATCTCAGGGGAAACCTTACCGTCGTAATCATTTTTTTCCCCCACCACTGCCCGCGCTATGTGCAATTATACAATACGACAGAGTTGTCGCCTTTTCCTCCTATTCGTCAGCGACCCCTCGTCCGCGACCCCGGCTCCTCGTCCGCGACCCCGTTCCTCGTCCGCGAACCCGGCTCCTCGTCCGCGACCCCGGCTCCTCGGACGCGACCCCAGCTCCTCGTCCGCGACCCCGGCTCCTCGCCCGCGACCCCGGCTCCTCGTCCGCGACCCCGACTCCTCGGACGCGACCACCCGGCTCCTTCGTCCGCGACCGGCCGGCTCTCGTCCGCGACCCGGCTTCCTCTCGTCGCAACCCCGACCCCTCGTCCGGCTGCACCCGGCTCCTCGTCGCGACCGCTGGCTCCGTCGCCGGCGACCAGCCGGCTCCTCGTCCGCGACCCCCGCTCCTCGTCCGCGACGCCCGCCCGGCTCTCGTTCGCGACCCCGGCTCTCGTCCGCGACGGGTTCCGGCTTTCTCGTCCGCGGACCCGCTCCTCGTCCGGCTGACCCAGCTCTTGTCCGCTGACCCGACCCTCCGGTAACCGCGACCACAGCGGCTCCTCGTCGCAGCGACCCTGGCCCCGCTCCTCGCCGTACGGCGTCCCCGGTCCTGTCCGCGACACATCCGGGCTCCTCGTCGCGACCTTTGTGGCTCCGGCTCCTCGCCCGCGACCCCGGCTCCTCGTCCGCGACCCCGGCTCCTCGTCCGCGACCCCGGCTCCTCGTCCGCGACCCCGGCTCCTCGTCCGCGACCTCGGTTACCTTGATGCGCGTGGCGTCGAGCCACGGCCGCGACACCGTGACGTCCCTGAGCATCACGTGGCACGAGGTTGGATCACGCCCTTCCTTCTCCTCCTCCTCCTCCTCATCGCTGCTGCCAGCTTCCACCATCACAAGCTGCTGTAGCACTGAAAGCGATTACATCACCGTAAATAGTAAAACTAAAAAAAATATTTCCACTTTTTCGCAAAATGTAAGTAATTCTGTTCACTTTTTATGGTTAAATTGCTGCATTATACTTTCTATTTTCCTATATTGTTTAATGTAAACATACACTCGTGACTCATACATAGCCCATAGCAAGCAATTAATGTCAGGATAATAATATCAAATCGTGCAGGTATTTTGGATTTTGAACTAGTTGAGAAACAATCTTATCAGGTAAGAACTTAACGATACATTTAGTCCCGTTAGTACTTACTTTTAATGTAAAAAAATGCCAACAAATATTTTACAAATACACACCATAGAAAATTTGTGACGTAGTCAAATGAAACACGCGCAAAAAACGGATATTGATAGTACTCGCGGTTTACTTTTATGTTTGTGGGTTTTTTCCCCCCAATATATATTTTAATTACAATATATATACACTGCTAGTACTAGTCTACTAACGTCAGGACATTCTTTCCCCCCCCCCCCCCCGCACAATATAATAAACTCTTCAGACTTGCTGTTGATATATAAAGTCGTTTAAGTAAATAAATAAATAAATAAAAATATGACGATGACAGTTGTTATGTCAGGGAATTGACGATTTTGAACAAATACATTATGACAACAGTCGCTGTGTCAACGATTTACCCGTTTTGAATAAATAAATAAATATATAAATAAATAAATAGATGAGCAGAGTCTCACTTGGGTAGGCATCTTCCTGCCACGGCGATGATGACTCTGCAGCATTCGCCTCCCTATTATGCGACGACACATGCTCAACGACCGCATTCTTATCCGTCGCAAAGATCGCAGCCGGCGCCATCTGGTGTCTGGCCGACGCTGTAGCGCCGCTGCCGAAAACCGCAGCGTTCCGGTTGACCTGCGAGAATGTAATGTAGTTTTGCAAAACGCATTCGTGTCAGCGGCAGTGGCATTATCGGTTGGCGGTAGCGGTCTAGTGGTTAGCCACACTTTTGGGGTAGACAGAGCGGAGTGAGGTTTGCATTTCAGCGTGTGATTTGCACGGTCAGTTTTGAAACTGCACGGCCAAAAATGTGTAGCACGGCCTAAAATATTGATCTAAAGCCGTGTACATTTGTAAAATTCCACTCTCAAATATTTTTTCTGCACTCCCACAATACTCATTCCTGGCTAATACCCTGCTCGACACCTGTCGTAGAAACGAGCTCATCACTAGAAGAATAGAAGCGATCATCTCTAGAAGTTCACTCTATCTTCCTTCCTTCAAGACAGAAGGACGGTTTCCTTAAAACGAAAAAGCTCGCTCTGTTTGACACGGCCCGGTCCGTCTTCCGAAAATTCCCCGAGAGAAAAGGAGAACGCTCCCGCGTGGCATTTGGTGGGATTCTATTCGCAGTGGAGAGCAAGTTGAACCGATCTCGAACGAACTGCGTACCTTGTTTGTCTCGTTGCCAGTCGGACGGGGCTGGCCACTTTTCGGTGTGGGGGAGGAGGCGTCGTGACGGCTCGATGAGGCGTGTCTCGACGCCGCGCCGGCCGCGGCGACCCCTGCAACGCGGCGCAGGAGAGAGAGGTTAGATCGTGCAGACGACGTGCAATCACGTGGTTTTCCCGCTCTCTCGCGTCGATGCAGGAGGTGGTTGTCGTGCGCATCCTCGCAGGCTCACAGCCGGCAGACGCGTGCCCACTGCTACCTTCCACTACCTACTGCTACCTTTCACTACCTACTGCTATCTTCCACCGCTAACCTCTACTGCTATCTTCCACTACCTTCTGCTACCTTCCACCGCTACCTTCTGCTACGTTCCACTACCTTCCACCGCTACGTTCCACTACTTTCTGCTACCTTCCACCTTTACTTTACACTACCTTCCACCGCTACCTTCTGCTACCTTCCACCTTTACTTCACGCTACCTTCCACCGCTACCATCAACCGCTACCTTCCGCCACGTACCTCGCAGAACGGTAAACGACGTTCGGTTTCCCCGTTCCTCCTCCTCCTCCTCCTCCTCCTCCTCATCCCTGGTGGGTAGGCTCCCGTTTACGCTGGTCACCACCGGCAGCTCACCCCACTCGCTCCCTTCCGCGCCCGCCGTCAATGAGACAGGCGCCGCCGTGTCGTCGTAAAGGCGCCCGTCTACCGGTTTGTCCACCTGCAAGCGTAGAGAGCGAAGATGGCGTCAATCGGTGACAACCTGACCGAATGTGCATGAAAAGAAAAACTTCACACAGAATTAAGGCAAAGACGCAGGTCAGTGCGACGTGGTCCAGTTGGAAACAGTGCGAAGAAATTGGGTGTGTAACGCGTTTGTGAGGTGAGTGTAGGCGATTGACAGGGCAGGTGTTTGCACACGAAGTCACAAGAATTCATAGGTAGTCCTTTTGCTACCTGATCTCCAAGTTTGAGCTCAGGTCTTGTGAGCAACTCTTGTGAGTAACTCTTGTGAGTAACTCGAGCCCAAGTTCGCCCTCCATGTAAGATTTTTTCTTTTAGACTTGTTCTATGCTTGTTTTTTATTGTTTTGTCATGAAACATGGTAGCCATTGCATACCTATTCATTTCATCAAACGAAAACCAGATATGATTTTCGAAACGAAAATTCTGACCAAAACGAAGAGAAGAGAAAAGGTCCCCTCCCCGGTCAGAGTGGACAGAAGCACTCACCACTATTTCCACAAGTCCTGGCTTTTCCGCGACGCTCTGCCACGACAACGGCGTGTCGACTCTGACGACGTACGACGTCGCCGAAGGAAGCATCTCCGTCGCGTTGCTAGGCAACACGCGAGCGACCTTCATCTTGTCGTCTGCTCCCACGGCCGCGGCGGCGACTCGCCGGCGCTTGGCGCATGACTGGGATGATTGAATGCCATCTGACGATGCCTGGTGGGGTGAGACACCGGCACGCTTCTCTCCTGTAGTGAGCAAATCGATGCGTGCAGACGACGAACGCTCACTCCCGCACGTTTACCCATTGCCAATCGAAATTGATAATTTTCAAAGTATATCGCTCGCATAATTTGGCTGGAGGGTAAGCTCCATGCAAGCAGTTACGATTATTGGCTAGATTGCGGTTAGGGTTAGGGTCAGGATCAAGGATTGGGGTTGGAAATTAGGGTTAGGGTTAAGAACTAAGGTTGGGAATTAAGATTACAGCTAGAAGTAGGGTTAGGGTTAAGGATTAGTGATAAAAAGTAGGGTAATGCTTGAGAGTTAGGGATTGAAATCTTGTTTAAGGTTTGGGGTAAGAATTAGGGGTAGGAATTATGGCTATGGGAAGTGTTAAATTGACTACGTCACAAATTTTCTATGGTGTAAATTTGTAAAATTTTTGTTGCAATTTTTTTACATGAAAAATAAGTACTAACGGCATTAAATGTATCCTCAAATTCTTACCTGATAAGATTGTTTTTCAACTAGTTATAAATTCAAAAAATCTGGGCGATTTGATATATTGATCACGACATTAAATGCTTGCTATGGGCTATGTATGAGTCACGAGCATTTGTTCACATCGAACGGAACAGCGAAATAGGACGTATAATGCAGCAATTTAACCATAAAAAGTTAACCGAATCACTTACATTTTGTGAAAAAGTGGACAAATTTTTGTTACTTTTACTATTTACAGAACAGAAAGATACAGTGACGTAATCAGCTTCGAATCAGGGTTATAGTTATCAGTTCTGGCCGCCTTCACTCGTATCGGCTGCAGAGTTCCTACTCTTCACCGCAAACACGCAAAATTTCACCGATGACGTTTTTTGCGAGCTTTCCCACGCCTGCACCCACCTTGCCGGTCTGTAAATCTTGCGTGAGACTGTCTCCCCGCACCGTCGGGTTCCAGTGCTTGCCCGGTGCACCGTGGCGCCCCCACGGTGCCTGTCGTCGCCGCCGCGGCGTTGCCGTCTCGTTCTGTTGCCGTGACAGGATTGCTGAGGTCGTTGTTTTTAAAAGGAACGGTTGGAGTTCGTTCGCCGTGCTGAGTCAGCAGGATTGACACGGGTATGTCGTCGACGCCCGGTGCCGCGGCGCGCGAGTCTCTGGTCACCTCGGAGGCATTTCTCTGCAAGGGTAGACAGCGAAGGTGCTAGCGGAGAGCAGAAACATTGATATAGAGACCTGTGTGCTTGCATGTATGCGTGCATGCATGCCTGCATGACAGCAGAGTCCAGAATAGCAAGAGAAGACAGCGATAATGAGCAAATTAAGACAGGAGAGCAAAGCGATAACTGTCAAATAACAGCAGATGTGTCGATCCTACGTTTGCCGCACATATACACGCAAATCTGACACCTGTTGATTACACCACAGCTATTAAAAAACTATCAGGGGAACATGGTTTCTTCTGAGGGAAAATTAGACAAAAGGAGTAATGGCTAGTTTGGAAAATTAACGCGTATTCATACGATCCATATCATGATGGATTCAAAGCCGTGCGTAGGCCATAGGAAAAGTGTAGAGTCTAGACCCCACATCACATGACTCAAGAAATGCACATGGCAATCTAAATATGCCATAAGCAGGTGGTGATATATTTAATTTTGGGTTGACACTGTTTTAACAACAACGGGTAAATATAAGAACATTTTCACAATGGCAATGTTAAATTTTACAACGGCAGTGCGCCACTGGGACTCTTATGTGCAAGAAACCCTGGGGAATCGATAGATTACACCTCTCGGTCACCACGGCGCGCGCTTTCTCGCAGCCACCATCCTCACCGCCATCGCGTAGCTGTCCAGGTCGATGAAATCTGGAGTGGACTGCATCCAGGGATGCGGCGACCAGCTTCCCTCGACGTCCACCAACTGGTCGGCCTCGGAGTCGCCGCGGGGGCCATCTTCGATCGACAGCTCGGCCCCGTCCTCGATCCGTATGCTAGACATTATACACGGTCACTAGCAGTCTAGCGATTGCACGAGAGCTGACATCGACGGTTAAGTTCGTCGCATTTCGTGAGAAATCCACAGACGACGACTTTGCTTTATTGCATTATGCCTATGCTATGGCTTTTTGAAAATTGTCACGAACTCATACGAAGTCATAGTCATATGATATATATAACAATTAACATTACTCACTTTTATTAGGCCCTAGAAGAATAAATATAAAATTGCCAGGGTCATGCCGGTACTGATAGCGAGTACAAGCGACAAAGTAATTTATATATACAATTTTCAAAAACACTAACCAATCAATAAATGATCGAACTCGGCCCTAAACGGCTAAAGTTAAACAACACCGACTCATAAAGTTAGACTGTGTCTTAGACAGAGCGAGCGAAACTGTGAGGTATGCATGTGCAGAAAATCTACTACTACTAGTACTAGTACTATTGTATACTCACACTTTGAACATTTGACGATTTGTGCAAATCACTAGATGCTTTGCTTTTATCAACTTCTACTCTGAAAGACGTAACGTGCTGTATTATAAGACCATATTATTATAAGTTTAAAGTAGGGCGACGACATAATTTATCGGCTGCCGCCGGTAGTTTCGGCCGCCGAAAAGAAAAGTGCAACCGCCACTAATGTGCGAAAAAAATCACACTTGCTGTTGCGAAATACTTAAATATAAACTAAGCGCTTAATGTATCTATCATTTTTATAGATATGGCTAACAATTCTCATTTTTAAATGATTGCAGTTTTGCAATTTAATCTTTGTATTAACTGTGTAATATCATGGTTAATCAGTGGCTATTTTCAGTATGAGTAAACACTGTTCACATGTTACCGTTCGTAGCGCGCGCATATGCCATACTTACTTTGTAGCTGATTCTGATCAAGTTTACTAAGTTTTGTGTGATTGTTATTGTTGCTCCGGTATTTTTCGCATATTGTATCGTAGTAAGAGTTGATGCCGAAACGGCAGCTGCCGCTATGGATGGTTCAGAGCCAGTGGGTGCAGCAGACGTCGACGCGATGGTTGTTGAGATGAACGAGGTTATTAATATTACCTACTTAGGCTACGATAGATACAATCATGTAACCTAGACCGAATAATTCTGTCCCATATAACCTTTTTTATATTTTGGTGAGGGTTATTGGGACAGAACGGGGTTTATTGAAATTTCGTGAGATCGCATGCAAAATGCATGCGCTGCGAATGCGGCCCGTACGCCGCTATTTGCGCGAAAAAAAACCTAACGTTCCCTTCTACATGGCTTTACCTTGCTACTGATATGTGTATACATTCACTTCAATCGTTATTCACTTCTTAAAAGATTGTTTTTCAGAAACCCGCTTCATTCCACTTTCGTATATCACATTCGCCATTTACAAACAATCAGACCAATCAGAGCGAGTCTATCAGCCCTCCTGCAGCGCCACAGATACAAGCAAGAACCAGGCTATTGTAAGACTCGCTGTGATTGGTCTGATTGTTTGTAAATGGCGAATGTAATTTACTAAAGTGAAATGAAGCGGGGCCTGAAAAACAGTCTTTTAAGAAGTGAATAACGATTGAAGCGAATGTATACACATATCAGTAGCAAGGTAAAGCCATGTAGAAGGGAACGGTAGGTTTTTTTTTGCGCCAATAGCGGCGTACGGGCCGCATTGGCAGCGCATGCATTTTGCATGCGATCTCACAAAATTTCAATGAACCCCGTTCTGTCCCAATAACCCTCACCAAAACATAAAAAAAGTTTATATGGGACAGAATTATTCGGTCTACTAGTACTATTACTAAGTATTAATCTTATTATTAGTAATGCTAGTAATGGCTAATGCTCATACTCATAGGGACTCTATGTTCCTGATGCTCAGGCCCAGGTTACTGCCAGAACGTACCCTGGTAACTATCTGATATGGTTAGGCGTAGGCGACTCCCTAGACTCGTTAGTGGAGTAGGCGAGGTACGGTCCGGCATGTTATTAGATAGTACCAGGGTACGTTCCGGTATACCGGACCAGTGTTAGAGCTTTAAAATAAAAACCACTTGCCAAACTGGGCGAGTGAGTCAATAAGTTAACTCGCCCAAACGGAATCTGTACTCGCCCAAATTTTAAAACAAAAATGCTTGTCAAACAATAGTGGAAAAACACAAAAACACAATTGATTTAACTACACATGTAATTCATTGATCACTTTTCTCAAAAATTCAAGGCACATCTCCTCTGAAAGTTCCTGTTTTCATTTTCATTTAATTTACTTTTATTCTCGGGCTGCTTTGCCCCATCAATGAAACGCCACGTTACGCCGATTTTATTGACTTGTTAACACCAAGGGCAACGTGACTTTTAAACAATCCTGCACCCCCCCCTCCCCGTACATCAATCAATATGCCAACAATAGCCATCAATCAATAGCCATGCCGTGCTGGCGCTGCACGCTCTCGCGGGCTGCTTTCTTCGGCGACCCTTGATAATATAAAGTGAGGATGTCGTGGGATAGCCGCCCTTCACAATCGCTACAACTGTATTTCATCAATGTTTGGATATATATCGTAAGGAACCAACATTTGATTAAAGTTTAAGACAATTATTTTTACTCGCCAACATGGGCGAGTCAGCTTTAGCTTTCACTCGCCCGATATTATTTTCACTCGACATTGGCGAGCGGGCGAGTGCCAAGCTCGCACGCTGCTGGACCGTACCCAGGTTACGTTTCGGCAGTACCATGGGGGACATAGACCCTCTCAGCATTACTAATAGTAATTTTTATTTTTCTATTTAGGCAATTATCCATCATAAACAATCACAGGGACCTAAGATCTTGCAATCTTGGATTTTGTGAAATTTGCATAAATAGTTGCCTTTCCTGCTCATTGAACCTGTCAGCATTTATACTAATATTTTCCAATAGTTCGAAGAAGTTGCCTTGTTTTGGTGGTCGATAGCATACCCCGGTCAATATTGGATCTTGGTAGTAAGATATCAACCCATATACAGTGTTCGACACAGCCAGTCGCCCGGTCGCCAATGGCGACCAAAACCTCTGCTGGGCGACTAAAAAATACCAAAAACAAAATATT